ATTGAAAGTACAATAATTAGAGTTCAGCACCTTGTAATAAGTACATTGCAATTGAAAGTACAATAATTAGAGTTCAGCACCTTGTAATAAGTACATTGTATTGAAAGTACAATAATTAGAGTTCAGCACCTTGTAATAAGTACATTGCAATTGAAAGTACAATAATTAGAGTTCAGCACCTTGTAATAAGTACATTGCAATTGAAAGTACAATAATTAGAGTTCAGCACCTTGTAATAAGTACATTGCAATTGAAAGTACAATAATTAGAGTTCAGCACCTTGTAATAAGTACATTGCAATTGAAAGTACAATAATTAGAGTTCAGCACCTTGTAATAAGTACATTGCAATTGAAAGTACAATAATTAGAGTTCAGCACCTTGTAATAAGTACATTGCAATTGAAAGTACAATAATTAGAGTTCAGCACCTTGTAATAAGTACATTGCAATTGAAAGTACAAGTTTTCCTGAGTTCAATAATCTTCGCCTCCTAAATATTAATTATAGATTACACATTTCGAAAACTGCAAGGAGCAGAATTTCTTCTGGGTGTATTTAGGGCTAATTCTATCAAACCTCATGTATCCTTTGCTAAAATGCTCAGGGTTGTCCTGTAGAATGACCCATCAAGGGTTTATGACTCAAACTCGCAGTTTAAATATTGCAATGTTATATTATATCATTCCAACCAACTATCTTTTGTTTATGCTAAAATCTGCAGTTTTTATTAAACCTATTCTCTACCCTGTCACTCATTTAAAATCCTATCATTCTATTATAATATATATATATATATATTATATAATTCAGACTTAATCAGAAAAAACGTTTCGTTTTTATACGAAAGATCAATTGAAATTTTGCTTACAGACCCTTTAACCTCCCCCCCCCCCCCCTCCTGTTACCTGAGAATTGATGGTTTGAATATCCTCTGGGCATCTCTCAACTAGAACCCTGGAGTTGGATTCTTCTAAACATTGTTTAGTGTGCTCCAGCTCCAGGTTCAAACATTCAATCCTTGAAGATATTAGTCAAGATAAATTAAGATATATTATATGATAATTTAAGAAANTGCTTTATTGGCCTTGTTAATTTTCTAAGCATCCAGTTTCTTGTTCAATTTTTCCCTCCAAAGAAAATGACCTTGGTGTTTTGTTTTAATTTATGTTGGAGAAAAATATTTAACTGTTTTTTAAGCGTAAAAAGTTTGTTGTTACTAGGGGGTTAAAAACATTGAAACAACTGTCAATAATGAATATAACATTACATTAAACAGATTTATTATGTGAACCTATCATCGGATATGGTTAACCTGAAAATTCCACGCAAACTTTAAAAAGAAAAAAGAAAAAACTAGAAAAAAGAAGAAAAAAGGAGAAAGATGAGACAGAAGAAAACGTCAACATTAAAAAATGATTTTGATTTTTAGAAATAGACATTAAAAAAAATTTCCCAAAAAAATTACTCCATAAGTCTCCTGACCCATTTTCTTATACAATTTTCAAAACATTTATCCTATAAAAAGCAAACACTGATAAAGATGTTTGTAATTAGTGCAAAAAGTGAGACAAAACAGATTTGTGGCATAAAATGAGATTAAACAAAGAATCTTTTATAAATTTTTGAATTCTTAATAATTAATTTTTTAAAAAATGAGACTGCATCAAACTCTGATTCTGTAATCCCTATATCTTTGCAACCCCATGTCGTAGACCTTAAATATTTCAAACTATGAGTTCTGTTAGATGAAAAAATCCTATTTTGTACTTTATTCATGAATTTGAATTATTAAAAGTATTTCAATGGAGATGTTTTCTACGATGCCATCCTTTTAGTTCTGGTGCTGATTAAAGAGACTGTACATGTCCTTATAGTCCTAGTGCTGATTAAAGAGACTGTACATGTTCTTATAGTCCTAGTGCCGATTAAAGAGACTGTACATGTTCTTATAGTCCTAGTGCTGATTAAAGAGACTGTACATGTCCTTTTAGCCCTAGTGCTGATTAAAGAGACTGTACATGTCCTTTTAGTCCTGGTGCTGATTACAGAGACTGTACATGTTCTTATAGTCCTAGTGCTGATTACAGAGACTGTACATGTTCATATAGTCCTAGTGCTGATTAAAGAGACCGAGCATGTCCTTATTCCTAGTGCTGATTAAAGAGACTGTGGGCGTAATTTCTTATGACCCTAATGAATAGACTGGCATGTCTGATTCACAACAGTACCCTCAACAATTTTTGCTGATTAAGAAAGATTAAGATATCCATGTTTTTAATTTTGAAAATTGATTATTGCAGAACTGAACACTTTTCAAGCTAGATCAAATAAAGGTTTAAAGGGACCGTTCTGAATCGGACATGCCCCTCTTAAAATGGAAGGTCATTTGAAACTACGTTTACAGTCCCTTTATGTACAGTAAACAACTCCAACTCTATATATTATAATATGAATGGTTGCACAGCAGGATTGTTTGAGGTATTCAAAAATTTCAGAGAGTTTGGTTTATATTGAATGATTATATAATTCAGACTTAATCAGAAAAAACGTTTCGTTTTTATACGAAAGATCAATTGAAATTTTGCTTACAGACCCCCCAACACCCCCCCCCCCCCCCTCCTGTTACCTGAGAATTGATCCCCCTCCGCACCCATGTAAACCATATCATAAACTCATTCCCTATAATAGAGGCGTTAGTTAAATAGAGTATACACAACAATCATAATCTTTACCACCAGAGCAGGTTTAAGAGAGTATCGTTAACGAATCTCTCGAGTTTCCTTTGGGGTCAACACATTTGCGTAGACTACTCAAATATTAGATCTTATTGATTTATCAAATTGTACAAAATATGCGACATTGTTCATAGTTGCTTGACAGATCACTAGCTAAAGAACTTTTTCTAAAGTGTTCATCCAAAAAAATAAAAATGCAAAAGCAAACATTGGTTTGGTTTGTAGGTTAAATAGCTCTTTGCTCATAGAGAAATATAAGCAAAAATCACTTTTCAATTTCTCCCATATGGTCAGATTTAGAGAAGAGCTTTCAAAACATTTATGAATTTTCTTACAATCCTGATAAAATATTTGGTATTTGGTTTTATTAAATGCTCCTGCTGTGTTTTTTACCTAATCATCGCAGAATTGTGAAAATTATGACATTTTAGGCAAAAAGCAGGAAAAATAATTTTTATCTTTGCGTCTCATTCCAAATCCAATAAAGATATATGCTGATCGAAATGGTGAATTTGTTTATCATGACTTCAAAATAATTTAAAAACATTTTGAAAGTTTGAAAGCCGACCACGGAGAAGCTGAAATGTGCTTTTAAAACATAAATCTCTATGCGCTTAAATCTACATAACCTGCAAATCAAGCCAATATGTTGGCTATATGTTGGTTAATGCTGGGTATATGCTGGCTATATGTTGGGTATATGTTGGCTATATGTTGGCTATATGTTGGCTATATGTTGGTTAATGCTGGGTATATGCTGGCTATATGTTGGCTAATGCTGGGTATATGCTGGCTATATGTTGGGTATATGTTGGCTATATGTTGGTTAATGCTGGGTATATTCTGGCTATCTGTCGGGTATATGTTCGGTATATGTTGGCTATATGTTGTGAATATGTTAGCGATATGTTGTGAATATGTTAGCGATATGTCGGCTATATGTTAGCTATATGTAGGCTATAAGTTGGCTATATGCTGGGTATATGTTGGCTATATTTTGCTAATGCTGGGTATATGTTGGCTATATGGTGGGTACATGTTGGCTATATGTTGGATAGTGCTGGGTATATGTTGGCTATATGCTGGGTACATGTTGGCTATATGTTGGATAATGATGGGTATATGTTGGCTATAAGATGGGTATATGTTGGCTATATGCTGGGTATATGTTTGCTATATGTTGGATGATGCTGGGTATATGTTGGCTATATGCTGGGTACATGTTGGCTATATGTTGGATAATGATGGGTATATGTTGGCAATATGCTGGGTATATGTTGGCAATATGTTGGATAATGCTGGGTATATGTTGGCTATATGCTGGGTAAATGTTGGTTATATGCTGGGTAATGCTGGGTATATGTTGGCTATATGTTGGGTAATGTTGGGTATATGCTGGCTATATGCTGGGTATATATGTTGGCTATATGCTGGGTATATGTTGGCTATATGTTGGCTATAAGTTGACTATATGCTGGGTATATGTTGGCTATATGTTGGCTAATGCTGGGTATATGTTGGCTATATGCTGGGTATATGCTGGGGAATGTTTCAACGACTAGAAAAATAATCCTTGATTGTCTTGTTCCCCTTGATTGTCCATATATTTTTCTAAACAGCATGCAGTAAAATGAGCCCCGCACTCCTGGTGTGGTGGAATGAGTGGGAGAGGAGAAGGATGATATTGCTTAGTTTCAACTCTTCCGGGTCGGAGAGGACGGAGAAACATCCAGGAGTAGGGCTTACGGGAGATATTGCAGAAAAGACGGAATCATGTTGCTCAAGGAAATTATGATCTAAGTCCTGTGTATGTGGATGTAAAACCAAGTCTTATTTATTAAGAAATGAAACAACATTTTGACAGGGGTCAATATAATTCCTTTTTCAATCCCATTTGGGATTGACAAATTTGAAAGAAATGGGGGCAAATTCTTGAATTGGGGGCAAATTTTTTTAATGATAATTTTAAAAAAAATTGGGTGCATTTTTATTTAATTGGGGGCATTTATTTTTTAAATTGGGGGCAAATGTGTTAGTGGAATTTAAAAATGTTTTTCTTAATTGGGGGCATTGTGTTAGTGGAATTTGAAAAAAAAATTTAATTGGGGGCATTTTTTTTTAAATTAGGGGCATTTTTTTCAAATTGGGGGCAATGGGGGCTTTGGGGGCAAAAAATTATTTTTGGATCGAGAAAATCAGCTTTTTTGGGAATTATATTGACCCCTGCATTTTGACTGATGTCGACACACAAAAATTTGCAAATCCATAATATAGGTCTACAGATATTAAGATGGTATGGATTGTCGAAGAGGCAGATTTAGGACTTCAAAACGGGGGTTGGACAGAAGTATTTATGCTTTGTGAATGAAGGGTTTAGAGGGAGTGGTTAGATAATGTGGTTGGTATCAGTGGGGGTTGTGGTTAAGGACATTATGTAGAAAGGTTAGGTTAGGTTATGAAAGGGTTTTAGCAAACATTGGAGCGCGAGGGATAGGTTACGGGGTTGAGGGGCCGGATATGATTGAGACGGATATTTGGGTAGCATGGGTGTATTTCTATGGTGAGGGTTGATACGGAAGCAGGGTAGAAAGGGGAAGGTTAGGGGGTTGGAAGGGAAAGGTTAGGGGGTTGGAATGGGAAGTTTAGGGGTTGGAAGGGGAAAGTTAGGGGATTGGAATGGGAAGGTTAGAGGGTTGGAGAGGAAGGTTAGGGGGTTGAAAGGGGAAGGTTAGGGGGTTGGAAGGGGAAGCCTAGGGGGTCGGAAGGGGAAGGTTATGGGGTTTGAAGGGGAAGGTTAGGGGTTGAAAGGAGCGGGGAGGAATAAAACACTAAATGTTGAAAATTAGGTTTGTTCAGGAATATGGGAGGTAGTCAATTAATCTTTAACCCTAGAACTGCATTGTTTTGGAGAAACAGCCTTGTTTGGTCTTCACTGCTAGAATACGTGAGATTTTATAATTCAATTTGTTTCCGGATTTAAACATGTGCATCTCCACCCTATCCAGTTCATCCAGGTTTTTTATTCATTCATTCTCATCCTCTTTCTTCATTCCTTCATTCTCATCCTCATTCTTCATCTTCATTTATCGGTTCTCATCCTTCTTCTTCATTTATCCGTTCTCATCCTTGTTCTTCATTTATCCGTTCTCATCCTTGTTCTTCATTTATCCGTCCTCATCCTTCTCCTTCATTTATTCGTTCTCAGTCTTCTTCTATATTTATCCGTTCTCATCCTTGTTCTTCATTTATCTGTTCTCATTCTTCTTCATTTATCCGTTCTCATTATTCTTCTTAATTTATCCGTTCTCATCCTTCTTCTTAATTTATCCGTTCTCATCCTTCTTCTTCTTTTATCCGTTCCCATCCTTGTTCTTCATTGTTCTTTATTTATCTGTTCTCATCCTTGTTCTTTATTTATCTGTTCTTATCCTTCTTCTTCGTTTATCCGTTTTTTATCCTTCTTATTCGTTTATCCGTTCTTATCCTTCTTCTTAATTTATTCGTTCTCAGTCTTCTTCTATATTTACCCGTTTTTATCATTTTTCTTCATTTATCCGTCCTAGCTCATCCTTCTTCCATTAATAATAATTAATAATTCTATTATAAATTACAATAATTATAAATTACAAGATAATTTTAAATTACAAAATAATTATAAATTACAATAAAATAATTAATTACAGAATTCATCACGTTATAAGATGGAAAACCGACGATCTCTTCCCAATTGATTCTTAAATTCTTAGAGTATTTAAAGGGTCCATTGTGAATCAAACACACGTCACTCTTAACATGGAGGGTCGTATGAAATTACGTGCAAAGTCCCTTTAATATGAATCTAACTGGAGTTTAATTTGTCTCTTTGTACAAACAGGACGGAGAGAATTCGTACTCTAGCCGGAGATATCGATCTTGTATCCTCGGGACCTGTTGGAGGTATCCCCCCCTTCCCTCGGCCCGATACGCAAATATTCGATTTAAACCTAGCCATTGACGCATGCGTCCCAATCCATCTGCCAACCAGTCAATCGAGATATATTTAAAGAATCCGATATGGAATGTAAAGAGACTAACACTTAAAATGTGGAAATTCTCTAAACTGAGATTACGCAGTTCACACAGTATACATTTAACATTTTCAAATTCGGTTTAATTTTGAACAAAAGATATTTTTTTCTGAAGCTGTTGAAAATTAAGATTTTAATTCAAAATGTTTCATCAAAATGTTTGAAATCACAATATTTTGAATTGAACACTTTTTAAGCCTTTCAATTTCCCTCCCATTTTCCTATGTCTTAAAGTCTTTACCTCTCCATCCCTCTATCCCTTCCTCACATTAATTCATGTACACCCTGTAGTCTAAGAATTCATGTACACCCTGTAGTCTAAGAATTCATGTACACCCTGTAGTCTAAGAATTCATGTACACCCTGAGTCCAAAACGCTCTTTAAGATCTTTAGGATACCCTGTATTCCTGGAACCCTATATATTGAAAACCTGTTATAAAATTATAAGGTTTGATTGGTTTTGTGCGATAATATATATATATAAACTACCCTCTTTGTATTTGATTAGAACTCAACTTTAGAGAATAGAAATGCCGTTGAAATTTCAATTCTGAAATTTGGCGTTTAATGGTTTTCTATATTTCAAAATAATATTTATTTATCAGAGTCTATTCATCAACTGAAATCTATTCATCTACTGTCAATTTAATTAGAGAAATCCGGCTTCACGATCCTCTACTCTGCTCTCATACCCATTATCCAATTTTCTTTCTTACAATACTTGAAACCTAGCCTTGCTCCAGATATTCCTTGAAATCTAACCTTTTCCAGATATACCATGAAACTTAGCTTTGTTCCTACCATCCTTAAACCTAATTTTGCTGCAGATATTCCATGAAACCTTTCCAGGCATTCCTTGAAACCTAACCTTGATCCAGGCATTCCTTGAAACCTAACCGTTTTCCAGGCATTCCTTGAAACCTAACCTTTTTCCAGGCATTCCTTGAAACCTAACCTTTTTCCAGGCATTCCTTGAAACCTAACCTTTTTCCAGGCATTCCTTTAAACCTAACCTTTTTCCAGGCATTCCTTGAAACCTAACCTTGATCCAGGCATTCCTTAAAACCTAACCTTGATCCAGGTATTCCTTGAAACCTAACCTTGATCCAAGCATTCCTTGAAAGCTAACCATGAGCCAGGCATTCCTTAAAACCTAACCTTGATCCATGTATTCCTTGAAACCTAACCTTGATCCAGACATTCCTTGAAACCTAACCTTGATCCAGGCATTCCTTGAAACCTAACCTTGATCCAGTCATTCCTTGAAACCTAACCTTGATCCAGATATTCCTTAAAACCTAACCTTTCTCCTGATATACCATGGAAATCAATC